GTGAGGCATGTGGGGGGCAGCCTACAGCTCAGGTAAGTGAGGGATTGGGGAGCAGCCTACACATCAGGTAAGTAAGGGATGGGGGGGCAGCCTACAGATCAGGTAAGTGAGGGATGGGGGGAAGCCTACAGGAAGGTAAAGCAGAAGGAGCAGAAATGAGCAGAAAGGTTCTGCAAGGGGCAGGAGGGGTCATTAAGGAGTAGGAAGGAGCAGCAAGAAGCAGGAAGAGGTAGGAAAGGTTTGCAAGGAGCAGGAGAGTGAAGTAGAAGTGGCAGAGATGAACAGGAGGGGGCAGCAAGGAGCAGGAGGGGTCAGAAAGGAGCAGGAGGGGTCTGCAAGGGGCAAGAGATGTCTGCAAGGGGCAAGAGATGTCTGCAAGGGGCAGGATGGGTCAGCAAGGAGTAGGAAGAGGCAGCAAGGAGCAGAAAGGGTCTGCAAAGAGGTGGAAGGGGCAGCAAGGAGAAAGAAGGGACAGCATGGAGCAGGAAGGGGCAGAAAGAATCAGAAGGAGCACAAAGGTAAAGTAGGAGAAGGGACAGAAAGGGTCTACATGGAACAGAAAGGGTCAGCAAGAAGCTGGAAGGAGCGGAAAGAAGCAGGAAAGGGCAGCAAGAAGGAGAAAGGGTCTGCAATGAGCAGAAAAGATCAGGAAGGGAAATCAAGGAGAAGAAAGGGTCAACAATTATCTGGAAGGGGCAGAAGGAGCACAAAGGTAAAGTAGGAAAAGGAACAAAAATGAGCAGCAAGGAGCAGGAAGGGTCTGCAAGAAGCAGGAGGGTGCAGAAAGGGGCAGCAAGGAGCAGGATGGGTCTGCAGGAAGGAGCAGGAAGGGTCTGCAAGGAGAAGGAAGGGTCTGCAAGGAGCAGACAGGGATCAGAAGTAGAAAGGAGCATAAGGGTGCAAAATAGGCAGACAGGTAAAGGAGCAGAAGGTGCCAAGGAAGAGAGAAGACCGTGTCAGAAGAAAAATAAAACTGTGTCAAATGAAGGAGAAGAAAATGAGATTGGAGCAGGAAGGACAATTGAAGTGATCCCTTCACTTCATTCTGGACACCACATCATAAGGCTTTGGTACCTGGGCATGGCAGGAAACTTTGGACCTTCTCATCTCCCTAGGTAAAAAACATATCAGTGTTAACATGTTCACTTTTATTTACTGAGTGTCAGGAAACACAGGGCCACTGGATAGGGGTGCAGTTGATTGACTACACTGTCAATCAGCGGCACCTATGCCTGACATCAATCTGCACTTCCTGACACTCCGTTTCAGAAGCCGAATGGACATCTGGAGCTGGAGGAAGCCTTTGAGGTTAAACAATTTGAGAGTGGTTTCACCCCTTAAGGGAAACAGAGCGCCCAGGGGCCTGCTTGCATCATAGCATTTTGATTTAGATGAAGTTGTTATGGTGACCAGAATGCTCTTTTAATTTGATTAAAGGAACACTACAGTGTCAAGAAAACAAACAAGTATTCCTGACACCATAGTTGTGAAAACGCTATTCAACCTGGCTTTATGTGATAATGACTATACTCCTCCCCTTCATGACACTGTCAAAAAGGAACCAAGCATGGATGTAATTACAATTGTGCCCTCCCCCCCCCGGAAAAATTCCTGCGGACGCCCATGGGCCCTGTTTATATGGCTATATTGTAGCTTCACAGAATAGTACCAAAGGCATACAATGGGTGTATCTTTGTACTCAGCAGATGTAGCTGAATACTATATGGGGTTTTGTCCAGGAATAGCAACACCAGCTTTATGAAATACACATTAAAAAAAAAACTTGTTATATGTGTATATGCAAAATACAGAATAAAAACTAAATTTTACTACAATATTTAGCAGCGATTGGCGATGAAATAGCTACATAAAAAGTGTCAAAATAACCTTAGGTAAATAGCTTGTGATGTCAACTTTATATAAATATATACTTTTGTGTGTCAATTTTGTGTTCTGTGATCGCTACTAGACTTACAAGACAAATATACCAACTTCTAAAAATAGTTTGAAATTTTATTTTAGTCCTTGTATTGTGTGACCTGTAACTTTTAGAATAAGCTGAAATCCTATACATATTATGTACTCTAATCAAACAAGGAAGAAAAATACCCAGTATACTCCACTAATAGAGAGCATACAGGGAGACGGGAGCACAGTGTAAGTAAGGTTAACCAAAATGAAAAACAAAACCCTAACTTTTATTCATAAATACTAATACTTATAAAATAGACCAAGATCAGTGCAAGGAAATAAATGTAAAAAGTGTCTACGATGTAGAAGGGAAAAGGTGGTAAAGGTTAAGCAATAAAAGCTTCTGTATAGAACATCCAACCCTGGACAGGCAGGTATAGTGATGGGGTGTTACAACTAAACCCCCTTGGAATATAGAACCTAGTGTGAGGTTAGAGAGTACTTTAAGGCATCAATGCGGAATTAGGTATGCTACTCAGGTAAATCTAATGTAAAGCGAGTAGATAAAGGAAAATCTACCCCCTCCCCCCACCCCCTACTATAAGGGCCTTTAAGTGGGACTATAAAGCCATCCAAATTATATATTAAGGGTAGGATGGAACACAGCTGGGAAACCCCCAATATTCACGTGCACAAATAGGAAGTGGAGAAGAGATCTGATGATTTTTGGCTTGACCTCACGAAATAGGGGGACATAGGATACTCTGGGTGACACTTGATTAAGTTATTTTGATTCTGTACAAATAATGTTATGTTGTGATTGTATGAAAGCAGCTATCCTGCTGGCACGGCTAGCGTGAATAGGAAAAATTGCTGGATAGCAATGCAAAGATACATAAATGAGAGCCCGTGGAAATTGTGGGGTGCACAAAATTATACAAGTAGCTGCTGCACTTGGAAATCGTGGGATACCCAGTCTAAGTGCGAGCCCAGGGAAATAGCAGGATGCAGAAAATTATACCAGTAGGTGCTGCATGTGAAAATCACAGGATACTCGGTCCCACTTGGCACCAAAAAGTATTAAACTTGGCTTTATTCCAGCACTGCACGGGTCTCCTGCTGCTGGCTCTGCCTCTTTGGCTATCATCAAAATTGTTGATCTCAGCCAATCTAATGCTTTCCCATAGAAAAGCATTGGAATTCTATTGCGTGTGCAGCAAAACGACACGCTGCACCTATCAGCATCTCCTTGTAGAGATGTATTGAATCAATACACCTCTATGAGGAACATTTGGCACCCTAATACAGAGCATCTGAGTGACTGCCACTAGAAGTGTTAAGGCAGTAATGTAAACACTGCATTTCTCTGAAAAGACAGTGTTTACATCAAAAGGCCTGCAGGAACACACTAAACACACCAGAACAACTACATTTAGCTGTAGGTGTTCTGGTGACTATAGAGTTCCTTTAATCAACATTTGCAGCGAATATTCTACTCACCTTGTGCTGGGCATGGAGTAGTGTGGATAGCTACCCCCCAGCTCTCTTGCCCAATTGCACAGCATCGGAACTTGACGCCACATACTACTGGTCCCATTGCTCCCACAGCAGAAGTTGCTCTGTGTGTGATATAGCAACGCCTCCTGCTCTGGGTGATATTGCAATTTTAATATGGCTGCTGCTCAGGCCCCTTCAAGACAGACCACAGTGTTCAGCCTACAGAAATAATTGTTAATACATGCATTTGATGCCTTATGCTCCAGATTCTGGTTCACATTGGCACACCACAGCACCGCTATGGCTTAATCACCCCAGCAGGAGGATGACTCCCATCCACTTAAGACCTTATTCCCAGTCCTCACAAGTGGCCCCTGCAGCCACTTACCCAGGCCTTAAGCCTTTTGGAATAGACTTCCACATTGCAACCCTGAACGGTCATCCACCAACAATTGCAACAAAAGGTGGGCTTCTCCAGTGATTCCAATCTTACCTCACAGTAGGGCCAGTCATGTGTGTCACATGAGTTTGTGTAGTGAATTTGGCTGGATTTGTTTATTTGCCATGACCATCTTCATTAGAACTGGGCATGCTGGAGTGGGCTGAAGGGCCATATTGCATATTAGCCTTCTATGAATTAGTTCTCTAGCGACTAATTGTTATGTACACAGAGGAGCTCCAGTTGCCCTTCTCTTTGTATATTTGTTCCTTAGGTGTTCAAGCTGTAGTTAATCTTTTTTTTATTGCTTGGCATTGGTATCTCCTCCTGCCAAATATAGTTCCACACTGTTATACCAGTTAGGTTCATCCTTGTACTAATGTATCAACTGCCTTAATGCATTGTGCAGTGACCGTCTGCCCAGTTGCCACCATGCTATTATCACGCACAGGTAAATAACCGATCTCAAGGCTAGGGAATTATCAGTTATTTCTAGTTAGTTGAATTTCTCGCTCTTACATGCCAGTACTACCTGTGATTATTACTCCAAACAATTTGTAATGTATCCTCATGTTCGAGCATTGACATTGCTTGCTTATTTCCACCGTAAAATACTCCATTCACTAGTCTTTACTTATGCCTTTTCTTCTACACACCAACATACATGTTATTTACTGTAGAAAACTCTTGCAATCCTTGTGTATTGTGTGGTATATCAGTGAACTGTGCCCCCCCCCAAAAAAACACCCTTTGGCATGCAAATTACTAGGAGTCAAAAAAATAATAATTATATTTGAATTTCTTACCATGGTTCCTGCCCGAGGTCTAATTGGAAAAAGCTATAAATTACTCCACTAGTTGAGTGAGGAGTTTCTGTAAATTTTATTTGTGACTGTATTTCAGTGGTTCTCAAACCAGTCCTCAAGACCTACCAACAGTCCAGGTTTTGTTAGTATCTCCATTGGAATAAAATAGGGAAATACATGAATCCTGGACGGTTAGTGGGCCATGAGGACTGGTTTGAGAACCACTTGTCTATTTGTCGGTGTAACTAATGTATCATCTTTTAGGCATGCACTGAATATTGGTACATAAAATGTTCCTTTAAATTCTGCTTGTGTCTGGTAAAGAACCATATTAACAGAAGAGACCCATTTATTAGTATTTTTTATTGCAAATCTATATTTTACATTTTTTTTTGTTTTTTTAAATCTGTTTTGGTGGTGTAACAAAGCATGAATGGCCTTAATGGTGGCACTTTTGATAGTCGTGTCTAAGGAACACAAACATGTATGCTGATCCTATAATGTTAAAACCATCATTGAGGTTGCTTGCCTCACCTTACCTCCCTTAAAAAGGTAACAAAAAAAAACAAAAAAAAGTGTGCAAACACTGCACATCTGTGCAGCTCCAGTGGCCATCTGAATAGTATCTTCTCTGAAAAAAGTGTTTACAGCAAAGAGGCTGCTGGGACAGGCTGTACTCCCCAGAAAAACAACATTAAGCTATAGTCATTTTGGTGACTATAGTGTCCCTTTAAGGGCAGATGGCATGAAGAGTTCTTAAAATTATTTTGGGTCAAGTAAAGACCTATCACGTTTGAGTAGTAGTGTTCATGAAATAGGCTCAACTAACCTGTAACTCCGCCATGTATATTTACATATAATATCTCTTCTCTTGCCCATTCCCCCACTCCCAAACTGCTAACACACAAAGGAAGACACTAGAAATTAGAAAAGAAAGGAAAAAACCAAAAAGTTTTATTTATAGACCTTTTAGCAAAATTCAACAAAAATATATGATCAGAAATTGATGCACTGCATACATTCGTTAAATCTGCAAGTGCAAACAGCAGAAGGCAACACTTTGCTCGTCTTTGGTAGCTAACCAAAATTAGCTCCTATAGAAGATATTGCAGGGTTTTACAGAGTTGCAATACAGTTTAACTTTTGGACATTTAATAATAATTATAAAAAAAAACAAAAATAAAAACTTTAATATGCCACTTTAAAAACCAGATTGACAATTTGCTACAATAGTCCAAAAAAAAAAAATTTAAAAAAAAATGACAAATTCCACACTCCATCTCCTGCTACATTGGTTTTCAAAACAGTGGTGGAAAATGTGCAGAAATGCTGTTAATTTATTCCTCGTAAGACCCTGTGCCCCATACCGACTGTATTCAATTTTGAGACCCTGCATACACTGATTGATCACATCCAAACCTGAAGCAAAGATATTCTGAAGAAGCCATACATACAAGGTCTATATATATATATATATATATATATATGCAAAACACATAGCAGCTTACACATGTATTTACAATTTCACAGTTATACAGATAGTCGCTGTCAAAACTCCTATTCCACCTTCCAAGAATAAAGAACTCCAGATTTAAAGCTCTATACAAAAATCAGAAATGCATCATTGTTTAAATACTGTACTTTAAATATTCATATAACAACTTGTAACATTTAAAGCCTAAAGCTTGTAATGCATCATCCGGTTCAGATGTAAAGGGAGAGAGAAAAAAAAATTTAAAAAAATTCCCTACATCATTTGGTAAGAAAGAAACTCCATGATTTTTGGAGGGAGAGGCAGCTTCTTAACTTGATTTGTAGTCATCACTCTTCTTATTGCCATACGACATAAGTGCTGAAGGCTGGAAACATACTTGGGAGTTGCCCAAAAATGCACATTTCCATCCTGAGTTCTACAGGCAAAAGGAGAACATTTAGTCAAACCGCATCATATTTTCTCTTTTGCAAGAGACATGTGGTAATGAAGATGCAATATGTACATGCACTGCAAAATAATGACTTACCCAGCAGCTAAAACACTGCCATCAGTAGAAAAGGCACAGCAAAGTCCTTTATTCAGAGGTGCAACCTCTACAGGATGAGAGCTGTCAATTCGCCAGAATCTCACCAACCTAAAAAGGAATATGCACATTTATAATAAAAGTTAAACAGCTAAAGTAATATTTGCTACCACATTAAGTTTAGAAAAAAAAAAAAAGTATTAAAAAGATCCCAAAAAGATTAGCACTTTACCGATACAAATCCAGAAATTTTTACTTATCGTAAATTTTTGTTTCTTAATATGGTGGCAGTACACGTGGGTTTTACCCCTTTTCTGTGGACAAGCATCTAACAAGATGAATTAAATCAACAAGCCCCTCCCCCTTGCCCTATAAAAAGGCTATCCAGCAAAACCTACCTCAGTAAGAAGCAAGAAAAAAAAAACCCCAAAAAAAACACTGATAAAACTTATACTGTAATCAAGAAAATGTAATATAGAAGGAGGGAAGCTGTCCCTCAGAATTGAACTGCCAAAATATCTACTAGATAATTTTGCACCTCAGCAAGATAACCGCATGGAGGCGAAAAAGAGCGCCTACTCTGGTTCCTCCCTGCCGTTTGACGTATCAAAACCTTTGTACAAATGTCCGTATGAATCTTTACGGCCTTCTGCCGTATCCATGAACTGAAGAGATAAAGGGCGAGAAGTACAGCTTTTAAACCCGAAATCTGCAGATTCTCCCTTAACCATTACCACGAAACATGATGGGACTAGATAAGAGCATCTGTAGTGATATCCAACAAGATCTTTAGACGGAAGACAAGCCTCCTGAAAGGAACTTTAATTCGAAAAACGGAACTGCTACCACCAACTCCCTTACTTCTATGATAGGGGAGAGAAAACCAACAATGTGTTTGACTTGATCTAGGAACTCTTGAATAAGAAATAGAATTTATGGATTGCTGGTAGAATCGTTGGCGTCAGAAATGTTTCCCTCTGTTTCCTCCGTCTGACCTCCCAAAAAAAAAAAAAAAATATATATAATTGCCATTATTTACACACTCTATTCTCCTGTTTCAATTTATCGGAATTTGCTCAGTATAGTCTCTACATTATGTTAAGATTTCCTTCAAGTGAGACCCAAACAGCTTCTGCTTACCCAAGGGAAGCTCACAAAGTACCGATTTTGATGCGGTATCAGTCATCTATGATCTCAACCATAAACTACCAAACATCCACAGTCATAAAGAGAAAGAGGGATTTTCCTTTGACAACGACAAATTCAGGAACGATTGGAGATGAGGTTAATCCGGTCTCCAGGAATTATGTTCTGCAGTGCGTTGAGGTTTGCCCTGAAATCACATACCTTGTGGGTGTCTCTTAACCGTTCATAATGCCCCGAGATATCTGTTCAAACAGAAAGCATACCTAAACAACATATGCTATATACCAAGGTTACGCAGCTCCTGTGGATACATATACCGAGGCGGCATCCTCACAGAAGCTCATATATAGAGCCTAATAAGGATACATAAACTGAGGCAGTAACCTCCTGGTAACTCATCCATAGAGCATCTAGTGAAGACATTTACTGAGGCCCTGTCTTCCCAGTACCTCATACATAAAGCATATAGAGGATACATATACGGGAGGTTATGTTCTCATAGTAACTATAACCTAGGGCATTATACTGAGGCGGTGTTCTCAGAACTCATGCATAAAGTATATAAAAAGGTACATCTACCGAAAACTGAACCCTCATAGGAACTCATATATAGCGCATATAGTGGCTACATCTACTGAAGCAAAGTCCTCACATCAACTCGTCATAGAGCATATAGTGGATACATATACAGAGGCTGTGTCCTCATAATACTCATACATAGAGCATATCGTGGGTACAAATAATGAGGCTGAGTCCTCCTAGTAACTCATACATAACGCCTATAGTGGCTACATATACTGAAGCCCTCACATAAACTCGACAAAGTATATAGTGGATACATAGTGGATACATATACAGAGGCTGAGTCCTCATAATACTCATAGCAAATAGTGGATACATATATGGAGTCCTCACAGTAACTCCTAAATAGAGCATATACGGAAGCTGAGTCCTCATAAAACCTCATATATAGCGCATATAATGAATACAAATACTGAAGCAGAGTCCACACTTCAACTCGTCAGAGCATATAGTGGGTACATCTACTGAGGCTGAGTCCTCATAGAAACTATACATAGCGCATTAAGTGGATACATATCAAGGCGTCATAGAACATATGGTGGATACATCTATAGAGGTTTTGTCCTCATAACTCATACAAAGAGCCTATAGTGTGTACACATACTGAGGCTGAGCCCTCATATAAACTCATGCACAGAGCATATAGTGGATACATATTCTGAAGCGGAGTCTTCCTAGCCACCCGTCATAGAGCATATAGTGGGTACATATACTGCTCACAGCAACTCGTCATAGAGCATATAGTAGGTACATATACTGCTCCCAGTAACTTGTCAGAGGATATAGTGGGTACATATACTGCTCCCAGTAACCCGTCATAGAGCATTTGGTTGGTACATATACTGCTCCCAGTAACCAGTCACAGAGCATTTGGTAGGTACATATACTGCTCCCAGTAACCAGTCATAGAGCATTTGGAAGGTACATATACTGCTCCCAGTAACCAGTCATAGAGCATTTTGGTAGGTACATATACTGCTCCCAGTAACCAGTCATAGAGCATATAGTGGATACATATACTGCATATACTGCTCCCAGTAACTCGTCATAGAGCATATAGTGGGTACATATACTGCTCTCAGTAACTCGTCATAGAGCATATAGTGGGTACGTATACTGCTCCCAGTAACTCGTCATAGAGCATATAGTGGGTATATACACTGCTCACAGTAACTCATACATAAAGCATATAGTGGACACAATACTGTGTCTTTGCAGGAGATATCAGCCCTATGTCCATAGGGTTTAAATGCCTAAACTTTCACTATAGGGAAAGTGGTCCACAACAACTCATCCTGAAATAAAAGCTTGTTACCACTCTTCGTCCTCTTCTTTTCCTTGTAGCTTCATACTTCTTGTAAATTAAGTGTATAAACTTTTACAGAGATCATTTTGAAGGAAAGATGAACTAATCTTACCTCAAAATGCCTCTGAGTCGTGTGGGGGGCTGGTGACACGGCGTACCACTTCTGGCAAGCATCCATGCTGCCAGTGGGTACTGCACAGCTTCATCTACGCCGAGCATCAAATTTTGCAGCTTTAAAAAAAAAAAAATATTAAATAATGTTTTGGTATGCGCATTTGCGTGCGTTCCACCGCTGTGCGCAGGCTTCCATTAGTTGTACCTGCCTCAAGACCGCCTCCAGGAAGTACTTGCCGGAACACTCTCGGCATAAAAGGCAATGTATCCACTTGCTCCGTAACCATAACGGAAGGAGCATGGTCTCTCCGCTAACCAACTAGGCAGCTCTCGGACCGGATTCCCCCAGACCAGCAGCCTGTGTGTCTTACCCTCCAGATGCTGTGTCCTTCCCTCTCGGGACAAGAAAGGAAACTGGGGTAGGTTTTGCCGGATAGCCCTTTTATAGGGCAAGGGGGAGAGGTTTGTTGATTTAATTAATCTTGTTAGATGCTTGTCCACAGGAAAGGGGCAAAACCCACATGTACTGCCACCATATGACAGAAAAAAAATAAAATAGAACAACTACATTTCCCTTTTGTTGGAAAGGTTTACAATACTAGTTTCAAAAGTAAATTAAAGTGGAAAAGAACAGATGTGCCAAGTTCACAAAATTAGTTTACAATTTTTTTGTAACAGATGCAGTAAGTCTGATCTACATTTATAAAAAAATTAAAATAAAAAAAATCTATATTTTCATATATTCCTTTTTAACTTACTTGTCGTCAGCAAGACTAGCAATGTGTAGCCCATCATGACTGAATGCAACAGATCTCACCCAACGGCCATTATCACCCCCGGCAAATATGGGTGAAGGTGGCGGGAATAAGTGCCTGCAATCAAAACAGACTGGGTCAGCACTATTTTAATAGTAACCACCGTATCAGCAATTAGTACAGAGTAGTTAAAGGGATAGTGCAGGCTTTAATATATTAAAAATATGATTTTAAAAAGTTAATTT